AGCGCGAGCGGGCGGCGGACGACCCCACGTGGACGTCCCGGCCACGGCCACGGCCACCGCAGGGCTGGGGCGCCTTCCCGGGGCAGGGAGTCCCCAGGCCAGGCCGCCGGGAGGGGCGGGGCGGCGGAGCGGGCTTGCACGTGGAAGCCTAGCCGGTGCCGACTGCTTCCTGGCAGCAAGACCCAGCTTCCACCTTGGAAGCCGCTGCCTTCGGACGTGGAGTTGTAGCTCAGAGGGGCGGGCCGGGGCGGGGCAGGGGGGCGGGCTCAGGAGGGCCAGAGAGCCAACGGGTGCTAACCAGGCCAGTCGGGGGGGACCTGAGAGTGGCGGGCTCAGCCAGGGCTTCCAAAGGGACAGGACAGGGTCAGGGCAGAGGCCAAGGGCAGGTCAGGGGCCCAGCAGGGGACCAGCTGCAGTTTCTCTGGCCGGCGCCAGCCTGGCCTCTGGAGGCAGGGGGAGGGATGGGGACAAGAGCTCAGCACCCCCGTCGCGGAAGCTGCTACCAGCCCAACTCACTAGTGATCCTGGGCCATCTTATCCCCCTGCTTAGACCTCAGTGGCCCCATCTGTATAACGGGCTCACAGCCACCACTTTGGGCTACCATGGGATGCCACTGAAATCATGGAGGGAAGGAGGAAGCAGGACCGGAAACCTACTGCTGCCTTCACCAAGAGCTCTGCCCAAGGCTGCCTGGAGTGCTGGGCAGGCAGAGGGCGGCTCCTGGCACCCCTCACCTGCCCCAGCATTTCATCTGCACAGGCTTGGCAAATCCCTCCGCCTCCTTCCTGTAACTCTCCCATCGATTGATCAATCTGGAGGGAGTTGGTCTCTACTTAAATACCTCTCCCATCCGCACTCTCTCCTCTGCCCCTGCAATGACCAGGGACTCAAACTCACCAGCTCTTGGCCAGGTCATTGTCACATCGTCCAAAACGGTCTCCCTGCCTCCAGGCCTGTCTGCACCCACCAGCCGCGGCCCTGCCCAGGGCCAGAACACCATTCATTCAACAGAGGCCAGTGGCCTTCATCCTTGGCCTCCACGGGCACAGGGTGGTAAGCAGGCAGGGCACCCAGGGGCCCTGCACTGGGGTGACAGGCTGGCAGGCCAGATAACCGAGCAAGGAGACCCAATTTATCACACCCAATCAGGTGTGATAAGTGCTGAGACAATGAACTGAGGAGCAGGGGGAGGCTTTGAAAAAGCCGATCTGGTGAAATGTCCCTACTCCGCCTAAGGCCCAACAAAAGCAAATAACAGATAAGATAAAACTCATGCATAATCAAGAGGTTAAGACCCCAGGAGATAAATGGGCCAGGAGTCTGATAGACTGCCTGCTGCAGGAAGGAGGGAATGCAGTGGGGTGACACATTTGGGGGTGGGTTCAACCTCAGGCAGGAAGGAGAGCACATTCAAAAAAGAAGGCAACAACAACAGATGAGGCGACATCTACTACAAGGGAAATGGTCTCGAAATGAGAACACCCAGTGCTGGCAAGACTCCTGTGAAACCAGCATTGTTGGGGGGTTTCATGTGGGTATGGCCCTTTTGGAAGCAAGTCTGGTAACATCAAGACCTAGGAAAAAAACAACCCCAACTCCTTTGCTCCTTCTGATAATCTACTCTAAGGAACTGAAGTCAAAGAAGGCAAGGCCATGCACACAAGAGTGGGCACCACAAGACAGGCTCCTAAGGCATGAAAGACACGACGCAACCCAATAGTCCAGCACTTGGACCGCTGAAGCCCAGTCTGCCCGCCTGTCTGTGGCAAGACTCAGGAACTGTGGAGCAAGTGGTCGTGAGGAGGAGGGAGGCGGAGGTCACAGAAAGCCAGGGCACCTCGAAGGGGCTGCGGCCTGACCCTCCCCCACAGTGGGCTGCCAGCCCGGGTCTCCCAGGCCACGTGTTCCATGTTCCTCCCTGCCTCTAGGACGAGTCCCGATGCCCGCACCCAGGGGCTTTGGACAGCTGGGCTGTGCCCCTCTTTCCCCGTTTGCCCTGTGGGCGTGGGCCCCAGCCTGGGACTCCCTCCTATGCCACCTGTCCAGAGTTTTCTCATCATTCAGGCCCTCAGGTGCCCTCCTCCAGGCAGCCTTCCCACCTCTGGGCCAGCAGTCTCCCTTCTGCTCCAGGAGCCGGAGCGTGGCCCCTTCCCCCTTTCTCAGTGTGCTCCTGGGCCAGGGACTCTTGTCTTCCACCTTCTCCTGTCTTTCCTGTCCTAGCTCCACAGTGGCAGAGGGACACCGGCAGCCACCTGGCCATGGGCGCCCAGCCTGGAGACTGCCTCCAGAGCCACTGCAGCTGTAGGTGGGACCTTGGGGTGGCAGGACTTGAAGGCACCACGGAGGTTCTGCAATGTGCCGGCCCGCTTGTGGTTAGCAGGGGTGTCACAGGACTGTGAACCACGGGAAGCCCGAGTGACCGTTCACCATCTGCCCTGTCGCGAAGGCTCAGTCGGTTGGAGAAAGGATCGCCAGCCCGAGGGAGATGGGAGCTCCCCAGTCACCCAGGTGTGCTCTCTGGAGAGGGCTCCCTGGAGGAGGTGATGGGAGCGGGCCGGGGATGAGGATGGGAGAGAAGCAGCCTGATGACCAGGAACCTGATGACCAGGAATCACAAGCGGAGGGCAGGGAAGCCCAGGGTCCCACAAGCCCGTGTCCCCCGAGCCTGAAGAGTGGGCCCTGCACCCTGCTGCTGGCGAGTCCTCCGGCCCCAAGGCGTTCAGGAGCGGGGGATGGGGGGCGAGCTCCAAAGTCAGGGCTCGGCGCTCCGGCCTGCGGCACCCGCAGCGCCAGCAACAGGACAAACGGGAACCTGTTGCCACCTCCGCACTGCAGG